TTCCACTTCAAAAGTCATCTTGCTCTGCACGCTTTCAAAAATGCAGCGCCAAAACAAAGCAACTGAGATGTTGATATGAACTGATGCTGCTTACTTGTTTACAGCTTGAACGGACAAAGAGCACTGCACTGAGAGGCAAAAATGAGAGAGTCAGCTTTTTGTGCCTTCTGAGCACTGATCCAAAGTGAAAAAAAAAGAGCGTTTTTAATTTTCTTGGGGGGGGGGGGGGGGGGGAACTTTCTACCTGCTTCTCAGAAGGAAAATTTGTGTCCCCTTTGCCAGGTATGGGGTGCCAAGCCTGGCAGGACCCAGGGTGGCCATGTGGCCCAGTGCTGGAGCTCGCAGAGGCATGAATGCTGCCTCAGCAAGCGAGATACCCTCCCAGGCTTAGTCACAGCTCAGCAAAATGAGCACACAGGGAAATACTCCCAGCTGGAAGGCCACGACCAGGAGCCTCAGCCATCAAGCAAGATGCCAGAGTGGTCACACTGCACTGCCCAGGCTCTGCGCTGAGCCGCCATGGAGGTGCAGGACAGCTCCTGCTCCTTTCCTTTGGGATGTGGCTGAGTCGAGGGCTTTGGGATCTGGCCTGATGTTAGTAACTGGCCTCAGCACATGACATTGCAAGAGCCTTTGTGTTTCTGCCAGCACCAGTTGCTACATCAGCTTGGATATTTAATAGCCAAATGAATGAGTGAAAGGAAGTGTGAACGCTTCTGTGCCAGCCTTTAAGGCTGCACATACTGCACTCAATATGCTAATCCCCCTGGGCCATAATTGCATCCCCAGGCTCTGGGTGTTTTGGTGCACAGGACTGAAAGGCTTCTGCTGTTTGTGCCAGTGGCAGAGCCGGCCACATGCCCCCAGGGCAGCTGATGCTGACCTGAACCATCCCTGCTCAGGAGGCTGAGAGGGGGTAAGTGCAGTCCTGCCAGCTGCTGTCCAGCTGCTGCCTTTGGGAAGTTGGTGGTCACATCATGGGAGCATCTTAGGACAGAGGCAGAAAGATGAACACGCACCAGCACTACAGCACAGGGCCCTGAGCTCAATTCTTGGCCCTGGCACTAAATCTGGTGCAGTCTTATCCCTCCAGCACAGATACATCTGCCACGCAGGCAGCCCAGTGAGCTCAGAGCCTCTCTCAGCAGCACGAATTAGCCCACGAATCTGCTACATGGCATCATGGAGACCTTCCATGTGATGGCCATGCAAGCAGACTGGTGGAGCGCAGCCTAGCTCTAACCTGCAAAAATGCCAAAAAGCAGAAGCAACTGAGTTATTCTGACTTTTATTTCATTGCTTCTTAGTCCACACAGTCGGTATAAAATCAGAAAAGCAAAGCAAAAAAAAAAAAAAAAAGAACCAAAAAAAAAACCCCAAAATGAAACAAAACAACAGCAACACGGTGTCTGGAGTCCTCAGAAGGCAGCCTGGGGTCTGCACAGGTGCCCGTTCAATTCATGGCCAGACACATCGCTGACGCACAGACAGAGGACAGACATCTCGCTCTGGCAGCAAAGACCGGCAGGGCTCCACCCAGAGCTGTTTCTGTTCCTCTTGACCATGGGGGGGGCAGCGGAAAGGAACCTCAGTTATAAATGCTTTATTAAAAATAATAGTAAGAGCAAGTCTAAGTACAAAAGCAGTTATAGCTCATTTATATTACACAGAATTATTTCTCATTTCTAGCTTTGTTGTTTACCTCAAGATTGTTAACTGAATTTCCAGTGAATAAGGTTAAATGGCTAGCAATATAAGGAATGGTAAATAGATAGCACCATTTCATATATCTGGTATTTGATTTCATAGATATACTATGGGTTTGCTTCTTGCTCATTGGTAGTTTAGCTCCACGGCAAGGATAAAGCATGTTTCACGGTTGGGAGCATCAGTGCCTCGGCTCGGCTTGGCTCGGCACGGCACAGCACGGCACGGCACACACCCCAGCCCCGCCGGCACAGGCACCAGGGGCACCTCCAGAGCCCGCGTGGGCAAAGGAGGACAGCCCACGCTGGACTGCAATTCAACCTAAGTGATTTAAAAGCCCAAATTCCCAGTGGGTGTGGTGGCAAGGCAATGGGACTTAGGCACATAAGTCATTTAGGCACTTGGGGCAATCAAAGCCTTTGCTCCGAAATCCTTCAAACCTTTCGGAAGCATCTCCCGTCAGATCTGGACATGCACTTCAGTTACCAGGATCACAGCATGTGGCAGGAGTGGGGAACCAACCCTCTGGCTGGCGTAAACCGGAGTTACTCCGATTTACGCCAGCCTAAAACCAGTCAGAGCTTGGGTTTTCTGGTGGTGTGATATGGGCTGGGATGGGGAAGGAGAGTTCAGGCCAAAGAGGATCTTGCATGAGAGAAAAATCACCGCGCTCTTGTTACACTGTTAGGAGTAATAGTTCCTCAGGCACTTGCTTTAGGCTTTAAAACATAGCATATGGTCAACAAAAGCAAACAATACTATGTACATATATGTAAAAAGTGTTATAAATAGGTTTTTTAAACCATAGATACTATATACATCTTCAATTAACAAGTAACCCTTTGAGTGTTTCCTTTTGGGGTCGGTTGGGTTTGGTTTTGGTGGGAGGGTTTATTCCTTTTCTTTTTTTTTTTTCCTTTTTTTTTTTGGTTAATTTTCTTTTCCGTTTTCTCGTCTATTTTCCCCCGCCTCCGTCTCCTCCGTGGACGTCATGAGTGCCCTTGTCACGCCACACCACCTCCCGTAGCATCACTCGCGCTTCCGTAGGATGACATAGATGATGCCGCTGGCGAGGGCCAGGGGGAAGGCCAGCCATGCCAGGATATAGGCGAAGCCGTAGGAGGTGTTTTCCGAGGCTTGGTGCCAGTCCGTGTGCCTCACTGTGAAGATGGCCGCACCACTCATCACGCAGAGCCCTGCCAGGGAAGCGCACAAAGGAAGGGGTTAGCAATGCCACGCACGGAGCAGTTCCCTGCTGGAAACCCAGAGCCAGAGAGGATAATACCCAACACCAGCATGGGAAACTGTTTTTATTATTGCCCCCTGGTTTCAGCTGGGATAGAGTTAATTTTCTTCCTAGTAGCAGGCATAGTGCTGTGGTTTGGATTTAGTAGGAGAAGAATGTTGATAACACGCTGATGTTTTTAGTTGTTGCTGAGTACTGCTTATGCTAGTCAAGGACTTCTCAGCTTCCCATGCTCTGCCAGGTGCACAAGAAACTGGGAGGGGGCACAGCCAGAATAGTTGATCCAAACTGACCAAAGGGCTATTCCATACCATATGATGTCCTGCTCAGTATAGAAACTGGGGGGGTTTGGCCGGGGAGCAGCAATTGCTGCTCAGGAACTGGCTGGGTATCGGTTGGCGGGTGGTGAGCAATTGCATTGTGCATCACTTGCTTTGTATGTTATTATTATTATCATTATTGTATTGTTATTATTATCATTACTATTTTACTTTATTTCAATTATTAAACTGTTCTTATCTCAACCCAGGAGTGTTTCTCACTCTTACTCCTCCGACTCTCTGCCCC